CGGGGCGGCTCGCCCTGCCTCCCGAGAGCGCGCGACCGGCCCAAGGTCACCCAGCGGCTCTCACGCCCGGGGGAGCGCCGGCAAACTCGCGGTCCCCCGGCCCCGAGCCTGGCGCCTTCACCGCTACGCCGGCCGGCTCGCTCTCTCCACACTTCATGGCAGCGTCTCTCAGCCGTGACAGCCTGGAAGAACCCTGGATTACAAGAATTGGGTTCGACGGGGAGATGCTGGCCGGGGAATTCTGGGAGTTGAAGTCCCCACATCTTAAAGTTGCCGAGGTTGAGCACCACTGCTTTCGAGAGAGCCGGTCTGGTGTGGCGGGGAAGGTGCTGGCCTGGAAACAAGGAGACCGAGAGTTTTCCGGTCCTCCCTTGGGCCTGGAAGCCGGCTGGGTGACTTTGGGCGGTCATTCTCCCTCAGCCCAACCGGCCTCACAGGGTTGTGGCGGGGAAAGGAGGAGGCAGAAGCATTAGGTATGTTCACTGCCTCAGGTTATATAAGAAAGGTGGATAAAAATAATTTTTAAAAATGTCTAAATTGCCCTTCCTTTAAAAAGATGCACAGAGACAGTAGCACCATGGTTACAATGAAAGGCCAAGTTGGCTTCTTGGGGGTGTTTTGGAAGGTCCCTTCCAGGGAGCTCTTGAGAGGTTGCTGTTTCTTCTGCCTTACAGCTTAGATGAGGCTTATGAAGCAGCTCCCCAGGAAGCAAGTTTTGGGGGTGCTTGAATGGACTGTGGATGAACTGCTGCAATCTGAGACCTACCCACAGTTTTTGCACCTCCTTGAATTTAGGGCATGTCCCTGGAAGACTTGCTTCTGGCTAGGTTGGGTGGTGAATGGTGACCTGGAGATACAGGGCTTGCAATCCTATATTTTGCCCCTAACGGTAGTAAACACAAAGTCCTGTCCCTCATGAGGGGGCTTGTTGTCTGGAACTGCTTGAAGGGAACCATTCTTCTTCAAGCAGCTCCAGGCAGCGTGCTGGCTGGGGAATTCTGGGAGTTGAAGTCCACGCCTCTTGAAGTTGCCAAGGTTCTTGAAGTTGCCACTGCTCTAGGGCATAATCCTGCTCTTACAACTCCGGCTAGGCCATGCTTAGAGCACTGGGTGGGCTCTTGTTAAGGCAGTGGAGGTCTGTGGGGAAAGAGGCAGTGCTTGGACTCCTGGCTTTGTTACTGCTTTGCCATGCGTTTGCAGGAACAGGATTTACGCACAGCAAGCTCTTGCCAATCATATGGCATCAGTAAGTGGTGAGCAAAAGGCTGAGGAAGGTCATGGAGGAACTAAATGCAAAGTTTAAGCTATCTGGAGAAGGGCTGCCCCTACCGCTTGTAAAACATCTGAGAGTTCCAGATACGGTGAAGTTCACACCTCTGGTCATCCTGCAAAGAACTGAAATAGTGGAAATGTGCTAGGGTGTGACTGTCAGCATCCGGCTTGTAGAGGGTTCCTCCCAGCTATGGAGGAGAGAGGAACTGTTCCTTTGTGGTCAGCACGAAATACAGAACACTAGCTTTTCCGTAAGCCGGTGGGAAACACTTTTTCTCCCCAAGGCAAGTTGGCAGAGGGGAGGGCTAGAGGAAGAATGACTAGAAAGAGGAGGGAGACCCAGTTCTAGTGCAGAGGGGCTTTGGGTGCTCCTGGGACTCCTCTCTTGCCACTCCCCAGCCTGACTTCTTCCTTCTTGCTCCCTTGATTGCAGGGGGAGGAGTCCAAGCCCCTGCTGCCTCCAGCCTCCAGCCCACCCAACAAGTCCATAAATGGAGTGGACTCCTGCTGCAGTCTGCCTTCGGCTCGGACGGACGAGCAGGCCCTGCTGTCCTCTATCCTGGCTAAGACAGCCATGTAAGTCTTTGGGGAAGAAAGCCGGGGCCCACGGGGTGTGGGCCGATGTCCCCATAAGGCAGGATGTGGGCTAAGTACAGCAACTCACTTGGGGAGCCTGCTTGTTCTCTGGCGACCGTGAGAGCGGAATTAACTTCCACGTGTACCTCTGAATGTGGGCTGTCCTATTCTGAAAGTCCTTTTTCCTTCACCTTCTGTTAGTGCGCTAATGCCTCGCCTTACTGGTCTCGCGAAAGATGCTGTTCCTTGCTGGAAGCCTTCTGTTCTTGGTCCGGTCTGGTCCCGCTTCTGCTGTAGCCTTACCAGCCCTGAATGCTGGCCTGCGTCTGGCCCTGGCTTTGGCTTGGGGCTGTGGGCTGACTGCTCCAGAACCCCCCGGCTGCAGCTCCTATGCAGGATCCCCAGGGAGGCAGGTGGAGAGCTTTTCCTAATCCCAGGTGCTTCTGCCTTTCTGCAGCAACATCATTGATGTTTCAGCCGCCGACCAGCAGCAGATGGAGCAGCATGAGTACATGGACCGGGCACGGCAGTACAGGTGCGTTGGACCCTGGGCAGAACAGAGGAGGCTGGCGAGGCCTGGGATGCTCCCGCTCCTCTTGCTAAGCCTCGTTAGCCTCTCTTAGGCAGCCTTGCTATGAGATCACAATGAGATCTCTTCCATAACACGGCCTTCCCAGAGCTGGGCCCTCCTGCAGACACAGAAGGATGTGTCCTGTGCCATGGGATGGCCTTCCTCAGCCTGAGCACCCTCCAGAGAGGTGGTGTTCAGCTGCCAGACTTCTGAGAGTCAGGAGCACCCACTCTAGGAAAACTGCTGTGGCAAATGCAGTTTCTGACTCCTTTATTTCAAAGCCACACTCAGCCACGCCTTAGTTTTGGGCCCAGCATGGCCTCCCTAATACTGGAACCAGCTGCCTGACCTGAAAAACACGCCCAGTCCTTGTGCACCTCGGCCATGGCAGGGAAGGAGCGACTCTCCAGGGCCGGAGCGTTTGGAACTGCAGTCTGGAGGGCAGGCGGCTCAGTTGCCTTCGTTGCAAGCGGAGAGTTTTGCATGTCCTGTGAGCCCCCTGGGGCTGCTCCTGCTCTCCCTCCAGCTCACCCCTCACGTCTCTTCCCCCCCAGTACCAGGCTTGCCATGCTGAGCAGCAGCCTCACGCACTGGAAGAAGCTTCCGCTGCTCCCCTCGCTGACGAATCAGCCTCACCAAGTACTTGCCAGTGACCCCGTGCCCTTCGCAGACCTGCAACAGGTTGGTATCTTGGCCGGTGGAATGAGCCACGCTCTGCTTCTGTGAGGCAGAGGTTTGCTCTCGCCTTCCTCTCTCAGGCAGGAGCTAGCAACGCCCCCCTTGTGCCCCAGCCAGCCTGGCAAGGAATCAGAGGTACCTAGCCCCTGTCTGATTCCCTGGGCTCTTGGCTCACAGCTGCAGGGAACGCAGGGCTCCATTGCTTAGGGCCACGTAAGGTGCCAGCGTCATCTGCGTTTGGCACTAAGGTGGGCTGCCCCGCCCTTCCACTCTGATCATTAGCATTCTTTCACGTGATTATAAGCAGGCAGCCTTCCATGCTAAGGAAGTTGCTCCTTGGGAGTCTTTGGCCAAAAGGAGGATGTTGCCAGGTTCGGTGAGTCTCGGCCTGCCCGTGGGCTCCTCCCTGCTGGCTGTTGGCCAGGCCTTCCCCTCAGCCCTATGTCCTGACCGTACTGCCACACAGACCTCAGCCTGCTTGAGGGTGGAACCAACTCCTGGACACAGTGGGGTGGCATTAAACAGGGTGGCAGCATTGGGAGATCAAGAGCAGTGACATGTTAACGTGCAGTGGGAAGCAACCTTGCTGCACGAGCACTGCTTTTCTTCCACCCTTTGCAGCGGAGAACCAAGTGATTTTCAGAGCTGGCCCTTTGGCATTTCTCCTGGAGGAACAGTGCCCACTGGGTGGGGATTCTGCAGGGCGACAGTGTGCCTGCTGGTGAGGCTTGAGTGCGTGTGAGTGCATGCGTGTGCACTTGGTTCCAGAAATGGCGGTTCTTCTTGGAGGATTCCTTGTGGGGTGCTGTGTGTCCTGCATCAGGCAGTGAGTACAGCTTTTGAACTGGGAGCTCGTGTTACTGTTAGACTTTCAAAGAAGGCACGTCTGATTCTTAAAAGCTGGTTTATCTTGGTGCTTTCCCTCCTCCAAGAATGTAAGATGATCCAGTTTGGCCCCAGGGCTGGCATGCGCACCCCTCAGAACTCTCCGAACGGCCCAGGCAGCAGCGCATCTACGTCTTCCCAAATAACTCCCAAGGAAAGCAAATCAAAGCGATGGTGCAAGCACGACGCTCCCTTCCTTGTCCTCAAAACCACAATTTCCCTCCCACTGAAAGTCGCACCACCCTTACTGGGACAAAGTAGAAGCTGTGAATGGAAGCCCTTCCCAAGACAGCTGAGAAGAGGCTCTGCAGATGGCAGCGCCTCCCGTTAGTCTGTTTGCTGCTCTGCAGTGAGGGTGCTCCGCTACGGGCACCAGAAATGGAACTGGGACAGGCTGGGGCATCGCCAAGTCCTGTTCCCTGAGCCCCCGAACTTCTGAAAGGCTGTGCTGGGCAACTCGGCCAAGCAAAACGGGAGAAATCATAGTAATTTCCACAGCCCCCTTGAGTTTTCTTCACTGGGAGCTCTGGGGCTTGAGCTGAGCCACCCTCAGGCAGTTGGCTGCTGGGGCAAGTTGCAGCCTGCCCCTTCTTGAAGGGCTAGCAGGGCACAGCCAGGCAGGGCTCTTCCTCGGAGCTGCGGAAAGGAGAGTGCAGAATAGGGCCAGTGTCCTGGCAGGCTCTGGAGGCCTCTGCCCTGTCTGCCCCCTGCATGAAGACTCTCCTCCGTGGCTGGGGGCTTCTCCTGAAAGCCCCCCCCGCACTTCCTGGCACGCCTTGGGGAATCGTCTCATCTCCGTTTCTGTTTCCTCCAGGTCTCCCGGATAGCTGCCTACGCCTACAGTGCCCTCTCCCAGATCCGTGTGGATGCAAAAGAAGAACTGGTGGTACAGTTTGGAATCCCGTGATGCCAATCCTCACTCGTTCGTTTTTGTTTTTCTCCTCCACTTTTATTTTTCTCCTCTGCACCACTGGCTTCCCACTGCAGTGGAACTTGTACCGAAAAGAGACACTGAATTTATTGCCTGGCCACAGAGACAATGACTTGTGGACAGCCAAGGCGGATGAGACCCACGACTTTTCACCCTCCTTCTCCTCCCTAGTTTGGCAAGGCAGTGCACGGTAGGGCTGGACTAGGAGGCAGAGCACTCGCTCAGCTCAGCTGTGAGGACAGCTCTGGGACTCGCGTGGGGGGGGTCGGCTTTATTTACCTTTGTGGTTGTGGCTCTGGAATTTTGACTTTGGGGGGGGCGGATGGGATGAAGGGAGATGAGGAGGAGGGAGGTTCTTGTCACTTCCCACGTGGCTTAGCTGGATTGTTCCCCTCCATCACTCTTATGTTTGGATGTTTTAGGATGGGGAAGGAGCACTGGTGAATTAGAGCTGGCTTTTTAAGGGGAAAAAAGCAGCACAACCACCGAAGAGAAGATTTTTGATCTTAGTGTTCTTGGTCTGTATCCCTCCCCTGTTTTACATAGCTGAGCTGTCATTTTAATTTTTTTGTTTTTGCTAAAGTAGGTAAAAAATATAAACATATTCATCTGAGCGAAGGGCTGCTCTTTATTTTACTAGTGTTGGAAGGATGGGGCTCCTCTAAGCCTGGAGACGTTGTTACCTGTGGAAATGGCCGTGGGGGTGTGTGCCCCCCTAGGCCATCTTATGGACAGGCCTTTCAGGGAGATCAAAAGGAGGTCAACAGATAATGATGCGTCCCTCCCCTGCACCCCCTCCCAGCTCCAAGCACAAAGGGGCCTCTCCTGTGCAAAATGGGTGTGAATTTGGGTTTGTTGAGAGCAGCTGCCCAGCCAAGATCTTCCGGTCAGATCTCTTCCCCCTCTAGGGCATTTACAAGTAGTCCTCACTTAACGACCACAATAGGGACCAGAAAATTTAGCGGGGTGGTTAAGTGAATTGGAATCAATTTTACAACCTTTTTTTGTGGCAGTTGTTAAGCGAATCACACAATTCCCCATTGATTCTGCTTGCCGGAAGCCAGCTGGGAAGGTCGCAAATGGCGGTCACATGACCTCAGGACGCTGCAACTGTCATAAGTGTGAGCTGGTTGCCAGGCGCCCGGATTGCGGTCGCATGACCGTGGGGGTGCTGGGACTGTCATAACTTCAGGCACGAGTCACTTTTTTTTAGCACTGTTGTAACTTTCAATGGTCACTAAATGAATGGTTGTTAAGTGAGGACTACCTGTGTTGAGAAGCAAGTTCAGTGGAACTGGTTTCCAAATTAATGTTGAGTTAAAGGGTTGTACCTTCATTTCCAGATTGGGAAAGAGACCTCCAGCCTCCTTCTAGACCTTGGGGAATGTTTGCTTGGCCCCAGCTTGGTTGGTGGCGGCTGATGAAGGAGCCAAGAGCGTGATGAATTGGGTGATCCTCTGTCATCTGGGTGGGAGGGACTACCTCCCGGCCTACTGCTGCTGTGTGGGGAAGGAAGCGGGTCCTCCATGCTATCCTCCTCTGGTGGGATGGGGCAAGCAGAAATGACCTACTGGCAGCACAAGGTGCTGCACAGAGTTGAGGTGGCACGAAGAGCACATCTCAGTAAGAGCATTTGAGATCTTGCCTGGGGAGGAGGGTAGGCTGCATTGTTCGGCCAAAGGTTGCTCGGGCTGAAGCGAGAGGGAGGTAGTGGGCAGAATCAGCACTCACTGAAGAATCCCAGCATTGGGAGGGTCCCTTGTGGCCACTGAGCCTGAACATCTCTGATGCTGGGTTTGGGGTGTGGGGTGGCCTCTGGTCTACACACGCCACATTACGGTAGCGCTCGATGGTTCTTGCAGGCGGCTTTCCTATTCCGCAGCGCTGGGGCGGAGTGAGGGGCCAAAGAACACAGGGGGAGGGTGTGTCTTTTTTGCCTGCTCTGACCTGGCTGTCCAGACATCTCCCTCCCTCCCGCTCCAGTTCCCAACTCACTCAAAAAACAACCCCAATTCCTCTGGAACTGAGAATGTTTCCTTGTGTACAGAGGCAGCCTTCCCCCACTTGGTGCCTGCCAGATGTGCAGGACTGCAAACCCCAGCTCCCCAGCCATGGGCGGCGGTGGCGGCGATCCAGCACGTCTGGGGAGCAACACGTTGGAGGGGGTCTTTGGCTGCCCGCCTGCATTCATGGAAGAAGCCGAGGCTTCCACTGCGTCCTATTGCCCTCCCGCATCTGGGCACCCTCGACTCTTGTGGGCCCCCACGATTCACCAGGTGAAGCTGCTCTAAAGCTTTATTCTTCAGGAAGGAGGCAGCCATCAGTAGTCATCCCGTCTCTTCCGGATCACCTTCGGCTTGATGTTCATGCGCCTCCAAACGGCTGCATTGGTGCGGTCTAGTTTGGTGACGCCGCTGAAATCGAAGGACTTCAACTGGGGCAAGGTAGACAGGACATAGCTCCTAGGAAGGAGGGGGCACAGAGAGGCAGTCACTTCCTCCTTCCCTGGGAAGAACCTTCTCCCTACCCCTAACCAGAAGAAGGGCCAAAAGAGCTGCCGTTGGGCGTAGAAAGGCACTGCTCTTAAAAGGGCAGCTTTCATTTAGAAAGGGGGGGAGCAGAAGGGGGGCGGCAAAAGGGATAACCAAGAGGAGGAGGAGAATTTCCTAGGCTAGCTACCCCCACCCTTGTGGGCATTCCTGTAGGGCTGCAGCACCCTTCATCCCCTTTCTGCATGGCCACTAGCCACAACGGGGGTGTAGTCCAGCCTGTATGAAGAGCAGGGACTGCATTTACTTTAGAGGAAATGCATCCTTAGGCTTCGCTTGAAAGTCTGCTTTCCAGAGGGGATCGAGGGTCTCCGGCTGGATGGTTCCCCCAGCTTGCGTCACCGGGCAGGTCCAATTCTTTGGGGAGCTGCACCTCCCCGCTTTCAAGGTAACCCTCCAGAGGCGCCCAATGGCAGCAGCAGGTGACAAACAGCCTAGCCAAGAAGATGACGCCTATGACCCCTTTCAGTGGGGAGGGAAATTCCCTCCCACCCTCATAGAAAATGGATCTCCCTTATTAATCCAGTGGTCCATTCCCTGTATACACGTATTCCCAGTGGTCCATTCCATTCCCCAACCACGCGGCACTCCAGAACGGTCCCCCTTGGAAGGGAAGACCAGAATAGGCAAGAGGGCTTTCTGAGGAACACGTCGACTGAAGGAAGTTTCAGCAGAAGCAAAAACATTGAGCTGAAAATGCTTCACAAATGAGGAAATGGGAAAAGCAGTGTCTCCTGCTGAAAGGTGGAGAAAAAGGTGGTGTGTTTCTCTGAAGCAGACCGCTGCACGCCTGGATCCCTCTGGAAAAGGTTGCCACTGAAAACCTCTCCTAAGGTAGCTCTCAGGTCACAGAAAGGAAGTCAGACATAGAGCAGAACAAGGGTAGCACTAATAACCTCACTCAGATGAAAAACAGAACCTTTTGGACAAGTGTAGGATCTGGCCTTAAAAACTGCAGTTTCTCAACCTGAAGAACTTTAAGATGTGTAGACTTCAACTCCCAGAATTCCCCAGGCAACCAGAATTCTGGGAGTTGAAGTCCACCCATCTTAAAGTTGCTGAGGTTGGGCTCGGGCAAACGGTGCCTAACTTTGCTCAGTGACGAAGCCTGCATCTCTCAAACTTCCTAGGAGTAAGGATGAAATTCAAAAAGGCGCTTTTCCTTGAAAGGAATTTGAGAGAGTTGACTTGCAAAGGTTCAAAGAGATGGTGAAGTAAGACTCAGATCCAAGAGTGAGTCCCAGGATGGTTACTGGTGAACTCTGGCCAATTTCAGAAGAGGAGCTCCGTTTTAGAAACGATTGATGTGGAAGCAAGGTGATGGGCTCTGCTTCCTTGCTTGCTTTCAAGGGGAGATGGACAATCAGCTGGGATGCCTTAGTCTGGATTCCTGCGCTGAGCAGGGGGTTGGACTATATGCCTCAAGGTACCTTTCCAACTATGTGGGGATGCAAGCTCAGAGGGGGTTCTCATCCTCCTCACAGAAAGGTCAGAGGTGGGTTTTTGTAGGGTGTTGGCATAGGTCCAAGAAGAGCCGAAAATAAGTTGAACAAGCTGGCCCACTTAGCTGGACTCCCTGCATGGACCTGGAACCAACTCAGTCCCTACGGCTGATGGTCTGTTGAGACAAGATGGAAGAAGAGAATGTGCGGGGTAGGGGGACAATAGATAATTGAAGTAGGGGCACAATCCAGGATCTCCTGGCCAATTTAGGATTAATTCCGCCTGCATCAATCAGACGTAGTAGTAGAAATTGTAATTTATGAGAACAAGTCATTGTCCATAACACAGTGTCTATGTAGGGTATGGTGTAACCTTGTGTTCTTGCAACCCTTATGAAATCTGAGTGGTCTGTTTCCATGAGTTAGGAAGAAAAGCCATGCCTTTTACATGCCTAATACTGAACTCATTTGCTGACAACAAGAGGGGGTGAGCTTTTGTATATGTTCACTAGAAACCCACATGGTGCTGCCAATCTAAGGTGGCATTCTTATCTTGCATAACCTGCTGCAAAGAATGGATCAGTAAATCATCCAAGGAAGATGACCAAATGATTCTGTAGGGGGACAACTAGTGTTATCGTAGTTTTGGTGGTGTGGGGTGGAGTCAACCCAACCCAAAAGGAAGCGTCAGCACTCAGTCCTGAGAGATTTCCAGGGAGTGGGATGTGTGGATACACTGGAACAGACTGCTTGAAGATGTAAAGAGAATAGGACATTCCTCTCACTGGACATATTCAAGAACGGAATGTGAGTGTTGTAATGTAAAGTTTGTGGGGTCCGGAGAACACCTATTTTAAGTCCAAAATGGCCCTCCAGTCTCTGTTCTTCTAGGAACAATCAAAACTACTGAATAAGAGCTGAGATTTTTCTTCTGCAGGTGGGACTCCTCTGACTGCCTTTATCTGAATCAGGCACTCTCTTGGTTACAACATGAAAGCATGTTTTTATGCCTCTCTTGATCTGGTGAGAAAAAAAACATCATAAGGTATCTGAAGAAAATCCAAAGAGAGGCCCTCAAGATGCTGAGAAGTCCCAAACCAGCAGTGATTTGCCTGCAAAGCTTTGTGTGGTTTTCTGGTCTACAGAGATGCAAGAATGGCTATTACTGCTTTTGCCCCCACCCCCCGCCAAAGTTTTGTAGAGGAAGGTCCTCTAGCATGGGACGGTATCTGTTGCTGTTGGAAGAGCTACCTAGCCTCTTGGTGAAAGAACTGCAGGGGTACACAAGTGGGCCCCTTTGTTCTTTGCTCACCCAAGAGGTTATAATGTGTTTTGTCTCATCTAGTGACTCTGCAAGTGACTTGCACTTTGAGTAACACTTTTCAATGCAGCAAAACCTTCCAGGATTTTCTGGAATATGAGTTTTGCATATCTGTTGTTTTTTCCTAGTTCTGCTTCCCCCAACCTGGTGCTGCCCAGATGGCTGAGTCTGCATCTCAGAGAATTCCTTCCGTGATCCATGCTGGATTTATGGAGTTTATTCTTTGGTGTTACATTAGCCGTGTATGATTTAATTAAAGTCATCCCATCGTTTGGAAAACGTTTGGGATAAGTTCCATCATACTTATGTTTGTTCTGAAGTTTTCTCCAGCTTCTCTTCTCAAGAAGACCTCCTTCCCTATCTTTGTCTGTTTGCAAACCTGCAAATCCTAATTCTTTGCACTGCAAAGTTTACTTGACAAATCGAATGGAAACAGGCTTTAATTCGGCTTTCTTGCTTTTTAAATAGAGGGGACCATCCGCTGGAATCCCAGGCAGGAAAGCAGAGGAAACTGCTCATCCATAATGAAGGTGCCCTGACTAAATTGGGCAAATATTGGTTACAAAACAGACCATTTCAGAACCTAGAAAAAATTCAGATGAGGTAAGTGTGATCTTAAGGGGCTTCCTTGTGTTCCCTCTGAAAGCAGAAATGCCTCTCTGAAGCTGCTGCTGTTGCTTTGGACCTTCAACACATACCTAAGAGCAAAATAAGTTTTTTACTCTGGTTTCTCTTCAGATTGTATACCTCTTTTACTTCTGACTACAATCCAAATTCGTTTACTCTCTCCTTAGAAGGAGAAATATTTCACCTGTCCCTGAGCTGCCTCTTCTAAGCCCCCTTTGGGCCTTAGGATCGGTTTCTTTTCTGGGAATGTCATTAAGGAACAGTTTGACTAAATCTTCTGCAAGTAAGACTTCTGGCACCGGAGCCCGCAGTGAGAGGTGGCCGGGACTTGCTGCCACCAGGCAAAGCTGGCGAACGTCCAGCGGTTGGTTACCTGTAGCCCTTCTCCTCTTCAATGGGGTTGCCATGCAAAGTCAGGTTGCGCAGGTGGGGCAGCACGGCCAGCTTGTCCACTTCGGTGAGTTGCTGGATGCTGTTTCCGTGAAGGTTCAGATTCCGGAGGTTGTAGTAGGTGGCCAGTACCTGGGAAGAAGGGCAGGGATAACGGGGAGGTAGCATTCTTTTTTGGGGGGAGGGCTGGTTCCTTGTTGGCTTTTCTGAGCCCAGTGAAGGGCTCTGGTTACGCGTTTCAGGTTGATTCCCAGGCTGGTAAGAGGCCTGTCCCTGCCCCAGGCTATTCCGTTAAGGGCGGTATTTATGGCGGTCATAAACCAGCCCTGGGCATCCGGTCTCTCTGCCCCCCAGTCTCCTCTGGGGCAGGTTCATGAATGTGCTTTGCGGAGGAACCCATCAACTGTTTAAGAGGGCCAGGAAGTGGTTTAGGTACCGGGTCAATGTTGGGCAGGTCGTTAAAGGAGAGGTCGATCCAGTAGATATCCCGGGGATACTCCAGCAGCTTTTCCATGATGTCTGGGAAATCCGTCAGGTCATTCAGGGTGTTGTTGTTCAGCCGAACGGCCTGGGTCAGCAGGCGACCCCCGTTCGAGTGCCGGATGGCCTTGAGACCCGGACGAGGCTCCTCGGTCAGCAAGTCTGGGGGGAAAGCAAACAGGGCAGAAGGGAGGGTCACTGCCACCGGGCATCTGCTGTGCCAGGAGCAACTGGGCGTGCCATCCGTGCAGGACTCACAGTTCTGCAGCGTGCGCAGAGTGCATTTCCCTGGCCCCTGCGGATTGGCAGTGGGCTCCTGGCCGCCTTATGCCACCAAAAGTCATCAAGGTTGTGGCTCGAGATCACCGTTTCTTGCAGAGGCATCCAAGTCGAACCCTCGCACTCCGCAAATACGAACAGATCCCGGGGATGCAGGGTGTCATTCTCAGGAAGCGGTTCCAAAAAGTCAGGATGGGTGTCGATCACAGGGTTCTGGCTGCCACCTTGCCTTTTTGGACCCTCTCCCCGAGGACAACACCCTCAGTAGGCACAGCCTGAGATGCCGGAGAGGGAAAGGTGGCTAAAACTACCAATTGGCGGACCACGTTTAGCCAACGCTTGATCTGGAGCGCATCGGGCGAAGCCAGCCACTGAGTCGAGGTGCTTAGAAAGGTGGACAACCGTCGGTCTCACTGAGAGGTGCTTGGCTTGAAAAACAGCCGAGAGGTGAAGTAGACATAGCATCTGAAGAGCCTCAGCCCTCCATGTTTTCCCCCAAATGCACCGATTCCAGTTGGATTGGCTTAGGGTGCTTCGCTGTCGCTCATTTCCAGAGAGACCCCAAAGGGGAGCCCTCCCCTTTTGACAAGGCAGGAGCAGACGAGCCACCCGGAGCCTGAGCCGCCACGATGGCACACTGGTTTTCTTTAAAAGCAGCCCCCGTCGGCAGCTCGCGGCATCCCCCAACGCAAACGCCAGATTGTAAAAATAAAGACACGGCGGGGGACTGGGGGGTGATTCAGTCGTACCTTGCATGAAGCTGATGCCCCGAAAGGAGTAGTCCAACGGCGGCGCCTGGATGGAGGCCTTGCTGTAATTCCAGTGCGTACACGTCTTTCCAACTGTGCTAGCAAAACACAACGGCACACACCGAGGAACTCATACGAGGCTCAGCCGCTGCCTGGGCGGCTTGGCTCGCTCGCAAGACCCCGGGAGCTCCGTCCGCAGGATCTCCTCTGTGGAAAGGGTTCTGGTGGGAGGTAGGTTCCTGGCTAAACAGAGGAGGGCCCCGCTCCGGGGGAAGGGGGTTCTCCCAGCACGGGGGTCTCCCCAAGGTGGGGTTGAAAGGACGGCAGGATGGCTGCAACGGGGCCATTGAAGCTCCGTCTTTTTCAAAATGTGCATTGCACAAAACCTGCCGTGACTTTTCTGACCACACCCTGTGGACACCCCTGTACTGGCATGGCTCTATAACCCACGATTCACAAATCACCATGGCTAAGCCCAAACCAAGCCAGAGTACCCCAGTGTGTTACAGGCGACGGGTGATCCTGTTAAGCCATAATATGCTGGCTTATGTGGTGTGGACATAACCTGTATGGTGTGTAAACCATGTTTGCCATGGTGAGTCAACACCGAGGAGCCGCTGGAGTCTTGGCAGTGCCAGGAGCTGAACCTACGTGCCCGACTGATGACGCCAATTCAGAGCACTGTGCTAAGCCCACGAAAGGGTCGGCCCAGATCCCGGGCATTTCTTAAGAGGCCTGACCTGGCATTTTATTAAGGGAGGAGGAGGAGATGACGGGGTGAGCGTTGGTCCCAAGAAATGACACCAGGGTTAGAATTCTGAGCTTCAGCCTCGAAGGTAAGATAGCCTCCTTCAAGCCAGCTTGACTTCCCAGGTCACAACGTGGAAGTCGTTTGCTGCCATCTTGTATGCAGTCACTTGTATAGCGAGATGGGCGGCATATATAAATTTGAAAAATAAATAAGTCTTCTCGGACGGGATTTCAGTGGTCTCTCATCCAAGGACTAACTAGGCCTGCTTAGCTTTAGGAGGCCAGCCAAGGTCAACTGGGTCACCTTGTGGCACAGCACCCCGAAACCCCTGAGGATCTATTATCTATCCCCCAGCCGCCTCATTTCCCCCTCACTCAGCCGAGAAGGCTGTGGGTGGAGATGAAAGACATCAGGATCGATGCTCAGCCACATGTGAGGGAGCCACCTTTTTGCCAGGGGGCGCGGGGGTTGCGTGAACCTGACCTATCCGGTTAGTCTATGGCAGTGTTTCTCAAACTTGGCAACTTTAAGAGAGGTGCGCTTCAACTCTCAGACGTCCAGCCACGGACACTGGTCTGTGGTTAGTGTGCTGTGTGAACTCAATCGTAACCCCGAATTTGGCTCTCCTTGGATAAAGGTGTGCCCAGACAGCTCCCTGGCATCTCCCAGCCTGTGGCTAGGTGGTGAGGGGGCCTCCCGGGGAGGGGCTGTCCTCCCATTTCCCAGGACAGGGTCAGCACCCTGGATCTGAGCCCGGACACCCCACACAAGGCCAGCGCCCTATGCGAGACTGCATGAGCTGAAGGCTTGTTACCCAGCTGAAGAGGGGCGCAGTCCTTGCCCTTGCAGGGAGCTCAGGAAGACCGGAGACCCGGCAGAGATGCCACCTCTGCAGCAGCGAGAATTCCTGAGTGTTACATGACTCCCACCGGCACGGACCCTTGAGGTTATCCAGCCTAGCCTGCTTCTCTGTGCAGGAATCCAAGTGGGAGCACGCTAGCCCCCACCTGAATGGTGAAGGGGAGCCCCCCCGCTTCTCCACGCCATTTCTTCCCTGAGCTGCTTTTACTGTCAACATCTGCCTTTCTGGCACTTCAGCCCGTCATTCTCTGTCCTGTGCTGTGGAAGGAGAGCGCGAGCAGGTCTCAGTAGGCTTCCTGGTATTTGAAAAGAGGTATCAGAACCGCTGCCCCCCCCAATATCACCTTTTCTCAAGGCTAAACATCCGCTGTTCCTTCAGCTTTTCTTCACTGGCTTAGTCATTCTCACTGCCCTCTTTGGCATCTGTTCCAGTTTTTCTCCGTCCATCTCGATGCGTGGATTAAGAGCCAAACTCCTTACCTGAGATGGGGTCTCACCGATGCTGAATAAATTGGGATATTTACTTCCTGCAGTCTGGAAACTTTGTGTCTGTTGATGTAGTCTAAAACTGCAACTGCCTTTTCTGCAGCCATGTCACATTCCTGGCTTATATTTGGTTTATGATCAGCAGTTATTCCAGCACCTTTCTTACAAATACTATTTCTAAACCCTTTTCCTGTCCCTTTGCACTGGAGGTTTCTTTCCTAAGTGAAGAACTTTGCACTCTGTTAAATTTCAGGTTATTTTCAGCATATTCCTTTAACCTATCAAGACTATTTTGAATTCTATTCCACTCTTTTATGGTATTAGTTTCCGCACCCAACTTTGCATCATCTGCAAAAGCAGCAGGTGTTCTGTCCACCAGTTCATCCAATTTATTCCAGCCTCAATCTACCAGAGAAAGCCAAGCCCCAAAGGAGTGGTTCTGTCGCTGATTGTGTTTTTGTGTGCCTCGCTATTTTCATTTCATTCTACTTGTGACTGCATTTTTTTTTAATTGCTTTTTGGGGAGGAAAAATAAACCATAAAGCCACCTCCCCATCTGGTGGCCCCCAGAGCCATTGAAACCAGCAGCCGGGGCATTAGGAGCTGCAAAGCTATAAGGCAGCAAATTGGAAACGGTCGCTATGGACATTGGTAGGTTAATAGATGAACGTTTTATCTGTAAATGCTCAGCGAGGAACACAGAATCCCTTACAGGTCATCTAATTCAGCAGCAAAGTGCAGGAATCTACTAAACCATACCTAATTAGTTTAAAGCAGTGTTTTTCAAACTTGGCCACTTTTAAGATGTGTGGACTTCAACTCCCAGAATTCCTCAGCCAGCAAGCTG